AGGAACGACATAATGAGCCACCGTGCCGGGGCTCAAATAATGACTGAACTTTTTTTCTCGAAGCAGAGAACTCCGCTGCACAGTGGATTGAGACCATCAGAGAGGTCGGTCATGAAAATGTTTACTATATGTAAACCTTCAAATTTTGATGTTTAATTCGTCACAATGGAGATGTTGCATATGTGAGGAATTTGGAAATTTGACTGTTGATTCTTACGTACAAGTTCGGGAGAAACACGATGGTGCCACTGGTTTTCTCTGAAATCAACTCCCAAGCTCAAAAAAAGCTCTCAAGTTGAGGCCAAAATGGAGGGGATATCCCACGCTGTCCCGAGAGTCCACCTCTACATCAAGACAAGCTCTTTATGCAAAGATAGGGAACGAATACATTAGCAGGGTTGCCGTGTTTTCAGTTTTGGAGTCCCCAAATAAAGTGGCAGCCCTGTCAATGTATTTGCTCCCTATCTTTGCATGGAAAGTTCGTCTTGATGTAGAGGTGGACTCTCAGGGTAGCGTGGGATATCCCCTCCATTTTGGCCTAAACTTGAGAGCATTTTTTGAGCTTGGGAGTTGATTTCAGAGAAAACCAGTGGCACCGTCGTGTTTCTCGCGAACTTTTACGTAAGAATCAACAGTCAAATCGCAAATTCCTCACACATGCATCATCTCCATCTAAATTTTAAAAGGTATGCTTCTGGAATAAAATTTCACGAAGAAACCAATGGAACCACTTTTAAAATCTCAAAGTTTTGTACGAACGAAGTTATACGCTCTTAAAGTTTCCAGATTTTGTCCGACCTTACCCGCTGACTCGTTCCACTGGGCGGCGGGAATCACGCCCCAACTGCACCGCGCTCTAAGATAGGATTTAATAAGCCCTCACTCGGAATCAAGGCGTAAACGAAAATTCGGTCGTTTTTGAACTTTTGAAGTTGCTGCGAAAGTTCTGTATTTGTGCAGCTGTGCTCATTAGCCCCATCCTAACGCAACGCACTGTCAAACAATTAAATACCCGACTAAACTTGTTTCCGGCCGGCTCGGAAAGTTCCTGAAACTGGCGAATAATAAATATTACGGTCGATTTAATTTTATTTCGGTCGTTCCGAATCGGATCTTTCAATCACACTTGATCGGCCGAACATTGCGTGACGTCATTCTGTCCTCTTTCCACGAACCATGCTGTTGCAAACTTGTTTTGAGGAACAAAATGATGGCTAAAAATCGCCTGCCTGCAATCTGACGATTTCACGGGACGAAAAACTTCACCGTTTCCGTAATTTTGGGATTTGTGACCTACACTGGAAAAAAAAAAACACATTCGATGTAGACTCCAGACTCTTAAACACATCGACAAGAAAAAGTACTTTTGATTTAATCAGAATCCAGCTTAAATCAAGAACCAATCCTCTTAATTTAAGCGGATTTCGTTTCAATTCAAGCAAAAATCCGATTGGATCGAGAGTATTTTTTCTTGTCAATGTTTTCAAGAATCTGGACTCTAGGTCCAATGTGTTTTTTTTCCAGTGTATGTAATGACAGCGCTTTCATACGGAATGGACCACTAGACATGGTACGAATTTAAGCATTCTGATACATGTTTCTTAACCAGAATTTCACATAAAACACAATGCGCACAACGAAAACTAATGAAACAAACTCCAAACGAAGATATTAACGTTTTTATTTCACATTGGTTACAAGGAATTTGAACTGCCCGCTCACAAGAAACTCAAAACTCTACGTGAGTCAAATCGCGCACTACAACGGTTTCAACAAGCTTCTCAATCGAGTAATGTTCATTTTCCACCATTTGTTGTTAAAACTATAAGCAATTTGCTACAGCTGAGCCAAAGCGTTAAGATTGAGGTTGCCAGATTTTTATATCGCAGAGACTATCATGATAAACGTTTAGCGCGCGATGTGAATCACGTAGAGCATTGAGTTTTAATGAGTGGGTGGTTTGAATCCACGCATCAAGAATCATTAAATATCTTCATAAGGAGTTGATTTCGGTAATTTTCGTTGTGCGTTTCGTATTCTACGTGAAATTTTAGTAAAGAAACATATATCAGAATGCTGAAATTCGTACCTTGTCTAGTGGTCCATTGAAAACATTAAAAAGTCAGTATGCGTATTTTATACTGTGAAATGCGGCAAACTTGCTAACTCATTTTCGGAAAAATTGTCAGCTATGCGGTACTGTTTTCCAGCTATCAGAGAGATGGAAAAAGCAATATTTTTTCTTAATCAAGGCAGACATATTCCGATATATAGGGTCGCCATTTGAGTATGATTGTGCCAGTATACCAATTCAGCGCTTGGAAAGTAACATTGCTTCAGTGCGGCGGTATTTAATCAATATTTCATGTATCACATCTGAACTGGACGGTTAAACTAAAAACCTTTATGTTTTAATATCTCTAGAAAAGAAGGCGGAGCATTTGACAGTTTCCATTTTTTTAGATAATCAGCGTATTACCTAACGTACCATGCAAATTTAATGCGATTCGTTTAGTTTTAGTTTTAAACCATGTAGATAGATACAAGGAAATACCTGTAGTAGTTACGTTATATTTAAATAAAATTCCTTCCAAAAAAAAAAAAAATTGAAGTGGTCACTTAACGTGAAACGAAATTCTGACGAATCCAGGGGTGTCACCACGGTAGATGACGCCAAGAACCGAATTTTTTAAATTACTGAAAAAAAATATAGTAGATTTTACCATACTCTGACACAGCGTTCCGAGTATGGTAATTAACACCAGATTGTGTGGTAGCATTTACCATATATTGTGGTAAGAATCACCTGAATTCTGGTGAATACTACCATAATTCTGGTCGTTTTCACTGATTAGTGTCATTGCATAGAAAATCAAGTAGACCTATAGTAGCCGTTACCATACTTATTTTTTCAGTGAAAGTGCAGTATCTCGGTTATTAATGAATGTATAGAAAGTTGCTTTTTGGACAGATCTTATTATTTTTAGCTGATCTACAAGGGACGAGCTTTAAAAACACGTTTCTGAGATCAACGCAACTGACCCATTGTTTTTCGAATTTCGAAAAGGAAAATGATTTAGGTAAATGGAACATCCTTTCTTGCAGGGGAGTTTTAATGAAAAAAATTGTAAAACTGGGGAAAAATTTTGTTCGGAGCCACCTTGACAACAATGACGGGTAGATGGAGAGCCTCTTTCCTTCCCGGATAAGGGCATATCCTTCTCCCGGCCGTGGAAAGTGGTTACTCCAATTAATACGGCAAACATGATGTTAACGTGACCCAGAAACTCAGCGGCTAATTACGTACCCTTCGAGCGCCGTTGCCTGATCTAACGCTTCCGCGGGTTGGTAAGTCATTTTTCAAGTGATTTTCATGTGGATCTGGCAACGATTTCGTGATGCTCTGGGGTGTTCAAAGGAGTTCGTTGCACATCGATGGCTACACTGCAACGGCACGCAGTGCAATTTCTGTTGTTGCAACAGTTCGTGAATCGTTGATGAAACTACCAAATTTCTCATACCTCACTGGAAAAAAAAACACATTGGATCTGGAGTACAGACTCTTGAAAACATTGACAAGAAAAAGGACTCTTGATTCAATCGGATTTAAGCTTAAATCAAAAGGAAATCCGCTCAAATTAAGAGGCTTGGTTATTGATTTAAGCTTAAATCTGATTGAATCAAGCGTATTTTTTCTTGTCGATGTTTTTAAGAGTCTGGACTCTACATCCAATATGTTTTTTTTTTTCAGTGTACTCCAATTCGCGACGCTGATTTTTTGTAACGTTTCAGTTTTTAAAACCGCAGCTTACCATCGTTTAGGATTTGTCTCGCCTTAATTTGGCAGTGGCTGTCAATAATAGCTTTTAAAAAAGCTAAAAAAAGCTAAAAAAAAACCTTAATTTCAAAGAGAAAACTTCGTGACAAGTCCCGGTAGCGCGACACAAAACTTTACCACTCACTCTTAAGCCCAACCTGCTTTCATCAAAACTCAGAAATCCGATGGAGTAAAAGAGAGGCCGGCTGTTCCTTCTTGACTCATGTCATACACATAGGTTCAAATTAGAAGCAGATACTTAGTAGCATTGGCTTGGGTGTATGTATGTATGTATGTATGAGCCGCTTTTACGGCGCGCTTGGGCGCTCTGCGACGCCTATTCTCCACAGGAATCTGTCATGGTAGAGATCCTCCGGAAGCTGGCATCTCTCCATCTCTTCATGGGTGCCCTCTACCCACCGTTTGGCTGGACGCCCTCTCCGTCGCCTACCTGGGGGGACCCACTCCAACACCTTCTTCGGCAACCTGGTATCAGCCATTCTCTGCACATGCCCATACCATACCAATTGCTTGGTCATGATATCGTGCAAAATCGTCCCCTCGACGCCCATTATCTCTCGGACACGTTCATTGGCTGGTAAATTTTTTTTTTAAAAATTCTTAAATATCAAAGAAAAAGTTCTTAAGATACCGCTAGCATATCCGAGTTAGGAAATCTCTCTTTTTTTTCTTTCGTAAAAATGTCGTATTTTTCTTTTACACGATTTTAACAATGCATTTCAGTAAACTTTAACACAAATACGTATATTTTTACTATTTTAATCTTGCGTGTTTTGCCGTTTTTTTGGTGTTCAGCACCGATACGGATTCAGTTCAAACTTTAACAAAATTTGTATGCCTGGTTTTCTACAATATTTTTGTTTTATTAAAATGTCTAATCAATTTATCTATAAAAAAAGAAAAAAGGTTCCTGGATCATACATTAAAACAAATTTTTCTCTCGTTTTTTAATGCTCAAACTAAACAATCAAATTCTTCTAGGATATTTTGCTTTTCCATAACCCCCTCGAGAATATTTTCTGAATTCGTCGTGCAAAAATACCCGAAAAATATGCAACGAAAAAAGGAGGAAAATTTGAATCTCAAGAACCACATTAAAGGGTTTTTTTTTTTTTACCATGTTTTTGGGATCAACAACTTTTGTGCATTTAAAACAACTTACCTATGACTGGATTCACACGGACAGCAACGTTCAATCCAACCATCATGTAATCCGGCTTTCAGAATGTAACATCTGAAATCAAATAAAATTTTAAGACTTTAGTCTCTTTTTAAAGAACGTTAATCCTTTTTTTTCGTTTTATCGTTTTCCTTCTAATCTAACAATGATCTGGATTATTCTACGCTTTTTATCCTCATTACAAACATTCGACGGGCCACATATTGAATAATTCCTTCATAATTTCAAAAGAAAATTCGTTAACATCTTTTGAATACTTTGCGATCAACAAGCTGACAGTTTCCTCCAGATTTTAGGCAAATGAATACTTATGAATATCTAGAAGTACTAACTGTCCATTTTATTTTTTAATTTTTTTTCCCTGGGGCTTCGGTAGTTTTTCCAAAAGCCACCTCGAAAATTAAACCTACTAAAAAAGCGAAGTGAACAAACTCCTCAAAGGCATGCCACAAGTATTCTGAAATAATGGATGAATTTAAGCTGGAGGAACTATGTGCGTGAGGTTTGCATGAAAAATAGTTACAAATCGACGGTGATGTTCCCAAACCACGAATCTCGGTTTGCAACATTGCAGTCTTCCAGTCGGATTTTATGTATTACATGGAAAACTACTCAACGGCTATTTTAAAAAACTGCCTTGACTTTTCTTATTTGCGTGAGGAAAATTCTATGAAAATTTCAACTAGAGATGCACATTCGTTCACCCGTCAAAAAAAAAACAAGTTGGTTTTTGCAATCGCTAGCGATAGCAATATTCGTCATGGGAACTTTTGCTTCTGGGATATGAAAATGTTAAGGTACAGTTCGTTTTTAGTATATTCAGAATTGAAGGGGCTATGTAATTTTGTGTCGACATCTCTTTTTTAACATTTTTAATTTTTTTTTCTTTGCATACAAGAAAACTGTTATTTACCAATTATTTATTTTCGTTGGATTATGTATGGTTTTCGGAAGTTAACGCATTTAACTTTCAGTTTCGTTTTTTTGGCGTAAAGTATGATATTTTTACTCTACGCATATGCCCGAATACGCATCATAAGTGACCTATGTGCTTCCTAAGTTGCCATTTTTTTCATTCAAATAGATGTAGGTAACTGAAATGTTAGATGTGTACTACCTATACTACTTTCATGTCATTGCTTTATTTATTTATTTATTTATTTATCTATTTACTTTTTGCGTAGGTATAAATTGTTATTTTTTGCTGAATTTTGGAGAAAATATTGCTTTAAGAACGTGGAATGTAAATTAATTTTATTGAAAAAAGAAAATACCATCATTAATTTGGGCGAACAGAGAAAATATACATCAATATTTGGGTCAACATCTCCCTGATTATATAAAATTTCTGTATCAAAAAACTTAGCTTTTGTCTTCAGAAATACAATGATTCTAGTCCCAGTCAATTTTTTTTATTGAAAAAACAAAAAAACAAAAAATAAATAAAAAAAACAACTGATATGTTAGACATACTATTTTAATGTCTTTCTATTTGTATCAATAGGTACTTTTTGCTTAACTTACGCACGTTGAATGCAAATTAACTTTATTGAAAAAAGAAAATAACGTCATTAATTTGGGGGAACATGTGGCTGATTATATGAAGGAGGTATATTCCAGTATTTTTGTTTAACATATTAACTCACGAGAAAATGTTCGTACATTTATCATCTAGTATTAATTATTTTTTGATGATTAGTCTAAAACATTCAATACAACCATTAAAAAGTAACACCCATCATCGGGTATCGAACTCCCGATCGCCTCTTGCCCGCACGTACTCAAAAATCTAAGGCGGATTAGTCAACTAGGCTATAACCAGTCTGCGTGTTGCGGAGTAAAAATAGCATACAAAAGACTCGGGCAATGTGCGGGACTTATCACAAGAGACCTTGACGCAGTTGACGCTTTTGGGATATGAGAGAATCATTAAGCGCATTTCTCTGTGAGACATTGATTGCCTATGCTTTCATGTGTCACAAGGTTCATCTCACCATGCATTTGCTATCGCGGCAGTAAACTGAGGCAATATTTCTGTATTCATGGATTAAATCCATCAATCGAGTTCTGATTTTGGCTCATATATCCGTAACGGGTCCTCCAGAGCAATTTTCCACCTTGTACGATGGTTATTATTTCTTTATTTCTATTTGTAAAATTTGAGGTGGGATAATGGCGGCTTCTCAAGAGCACCGAGGAAGGCGATCTTTTGCACCAACGAACAGAAAACTGATGGCGAAAAATAACCAATCAGAACCTCCCAAAAAAAAGAATTTGCCTAAAAACGGAACTTCGTGGTTCTGCGCAGATTTACCAGTCAGACACGACATCTCAAGGTGGAAAAAAACTCGCTGAAAGCGAATTTTAGCAATCAACACAACTTGACGTAGTGACATGATTGGCTAAAAAATACAACGGTTTTTGATACATCGGAAAATCAACCAAAAATCGGAGACTGGGCGAAACGCTCAAGGTCGCAGAGGTATAGGGAATCCCATAGCGAAAGCAACGGAACGATTCTAATATCATGGGGAACTCCGTTCCCATGACAAAAAAATTAGAGCAGAGATTGCATGTTCTGGGGATGTGCTGCAGACAGTAACATCAGACGGATCCAGACGTTCCAGAATGTGACTCTGAGACAGATGGTTAATGCCGAGTGGTATATCAGAAACTCTGATATCCACAAGGACTTAGGCATCGTGTCAGTGAAGAATCACATTCGGGAACTGACGGAAAATTACGAACACCGCTTGGGTTTTCATCCTAATGTCGTGGCCATTTCCCTCCTCGATAATTCGATAACTCGAACACACTTCGCAAGCTCAAAAGGCGCAATCCTTTTGACCTGATCTCTGATTTGATCGATGTTTAATTTAGTCATCCATCACAATAAGGAATAGTAACTTTCACGAGCGAATTGAAAGACATTTTCTGTATGCACACAGTTTAATTTAACTTTTCTTTTGTATGTTCATAGTACTTATCATGTCTAATCTTAAGTAATTAGACAGTTGTCTTTGTAGATAGTTAGCTATATTTTTAAGATTACATTAAGTTCTTCTTACATATGTTCTCATCTTCTTCACCCTTCACTCATTTATCATTAGTAGTTAGCTATCTCTAAGATATATAAGTTTCATGTTCTTAAGCTAAAAGTGCAAAACGTTTTTCCAAAGACGTGCTAATAAATATTCAAAAAAAAAATATTAGAGCAGAGATTTTTAAACACCGTAAACGAAATACGCGGTTTGGGAGTTTCACTGTACAAATAAAGAATAAAGCCGTTGTTTTTTTATTCGAAATTGAAAATTTTGTTGGGCAAAAATGAAGAGCATCTAATATTGTGCTGCGGCGGCTCTGCTTTGGATGACAGTGCAACGCCTGGTGATTTCTCGAAGCGCCGAAAAATGAGAGGGATTCTAATTTGAACATGCCGCAAAAATACCTCGAAAGTTAACAAAGAGCACGTAACGAGGCTTTCAGTGGCGTGACGTGCTGCGCTATGTATCACGAATCTCCGTTTTAACTTTCAAGCTAAATCTGAGTCCGAAACAAGAGAGATGTAATGATTGAGGGGTGAAAAATCAATTAAATTTTTAAGTTTTAGTAATGGAGATGTTGCATGTGTGAGGTATTTGCGATTTGACTGTTGATTCTTACGTAAAAGTTCGCGAAAAACACGATGGTGCCACTGGTTTTCTTTGAAATCAACTTCCATGCTCAAAAAAAGCTCTCAAGTTGAGGCCAAAATGGAGGGGATATCCCACGCTATCCCTTCTTCACAATTCCATCCTCCGTCGCCGCTTTTCATCGCTTTCCCGGCGCAAAGGCGAACCCCCGTCCCCTCATGAGCCACAAAACGCATTAAGTTTACAGGGAACAAAGGGTCGTCCTTAAATATATAGTTGCTCTCTTATGTCGAAGGAGTGACGTTTTGCACGCGTCGTGGCCTGGCGATTATATCGCGCGATGTGGTGCTTTCCGCCGCACAATAGAGCGTGGAAAAGTTGGACACGGAATGGAGATGTTGCATGTGTGAGGAATTTGCGATTTGACTATTGATTCTTTTGTAAAAGTTTGCGAAAAAGACGATGGTGCCACTGGTTTTCTCTGAAATCAATTCCGAAGCTCAAAAAAAGCTCTCGAGTTGAGGCCAAAATGGAGGGGATATCCCACGTTATCCTGAGAGTCCACCTCTACATCAAGGCAAACTCTTCATGCGAAGATAGGGAGCAAATACATTGACAGGCACTTTATTTGGGGACTCTAAAACTGAAAACACGGCATCACTGCGAATGGATTTTGCTCCCTTTCTTTGCATGGAGAGTTTATTTTGATGTAGAAGTGCTCAGGGTAGCGTGGGATATCCCCTCCACTTTGGCCTCAACTTGAGAGCTTTTTTTGAGCTTGGGAGTTGATTTCAGAGAAAACCAGCGGCACCATTGTATTTCTCGCGAACTTTTACGTAAAAATCAACGGTCAAATCGCAAATTCCTCACTTATGCAACATCTCCATTAAAAAACGCCGCGACGTTCTCTGCAGCTCTATTTGTCAATTTTTTGTTTTTCATACTGAGCCTCGGTTGCCTAGAATGCCGCATGTCTACTAAAATAGGCTGGCCAGAAATCAGTACTTTTTCAGTATATTCCCAAGAAATTCAGTAACTTCTAAACAGAAAAATGGGCCTGTTGCAAACTTTTGCTGGAGCAAAACTAAGAGTTGTTTCTTATAGATAATGCCTCAAAAATCACGATGAGCGCATCGGCAAACTCTGAAATGCACTCATAACTTCACAATCTGCGTAGGAAATTTGCGGTTTTTTGAGCTTCCCGCTTTAAAAACGATACTACGGCACAGGTGAACATTTTGTAAGAGGAGTCGTTCCATCGTCGGCAATAATCATCATAGCCGACGCCAATCCGCCAAAACACGTTTGATGGGACGAGGTAACACCTGAACTGGATTAGACCAGATAACAATCGGTGTGTTAACGTTCATATTTTCCACGCCCGAATGGATTGACCTTGAACTCTCCTTGAATTACGCGCGGAACTGCGTGCAAGCGTCGGCCATGATGAATATCGCCGACGATGGAGCGACTCCTCTAACAAAATGTTCACCTACGCCGTAGTATCGTTTTTGAAGCGGGAAGCTTAAAAAAACGCAAATTTCTTACGCAGATTGTGAAGTTATGAGTGCATTTCAGACTGCCGATGCGCTCATCGTGATTTTTGAGGCATTATCTACAAAAAACAACTCTTATTTTTGCTCTAGCAAAAGTTTGCAACAGGCCCATTCCGCGCTTTGTCAGTACCTCCATTTGACGAAATTAGAAAAATTTGAATTGCTCGCTCAAATTGGGACAAAAATAACCAAAAAATGAAAAAAAAAACTCCGGACCTTTCGCGGAATTTCCGCACTTTTTCAGTGTTTCCGGACCTCCCTTAAAAATTCGGTACTATTTCCAGACTTTCCGGAAATTCCGGACTTGTACACACCCTGTTATGACATTCGTAAATTCAAAATGACTTACGTATAACTGGATTCACAAGGACAGCTGCGCTCATTCTAACCATCATGCAACTCAGCTTTTAGAATGCAACACCTGAAATCAAATAAAAATTTATAAGTAAGATTTCAGCTCCTCTCCAGCTAAATTCCTCCCCCCCCCCTCATTTTCCTGTTTGTCGTTTTCCCTCTTATTTAGCAATCTGTCTGTTTTTCGCAGTAAGAACATCCGACAACCCAACATTATATACTTCGTAAAGTTATCAAAATGTTTAAATTCAAAAATATACTCACAAACAATCATATTTCAGGATTGCTCAGTATTTTTTTTTAAAAAATGAAATGTCAGATAAATTAGGCAACAAGTTAGGGTGATTCTGGTTAAATCCATTATCCTGTAGACTGTCTCGACTTTATAAATTCATAGCGTAGAGGAGGCACTCAATTTTTTTTTTTTTTTTTTTTTTTTTTTTTTTTTACAGAGTGAGACCCTCATGCTTTGGATGACATCGGTTTTTTTTCATTTTCCTCTACATTATTGAAAACGTTACATCAATGCAGAGAGGGGAAGAAGGAAAATGGTAGAAATGCATCAGTCAAGCTAAATTCGAGCCAGACAGAGGAGGGAAAGGTGAGCATAGAGGTGGTGAAAAGCAACTATTTTTTAGTCGCTCAAAAAACGCCATCACCCAAAAATACATTTTTGAGCGAGATCTCCGTAGTCCAATGCGTCAAACATTGTGACTATTCTCATACCGAGGCGATATTTGCTGGCCTCCCAGTGCGCGTTTACTAAGGTTCTCTCCCTAAGATGACAAGAACTCATAATCGGTATGCTAGAAAGGAATTTGTCTTAGGAATAAAGCCCCAAAAATGTGATTTCTCGCGCTACAGTTTATTTGTTTTGGCTTCGTTGATCCTCTCTCATCATGGGGAAGCGGTAAGTTCAAAGTTTTGAAATTGATATGATAGTAAAACAGAAAGACATAAGTAAATCCTCCTTGTCTAAAATACAAGACGATTCCCAAAAAATAACGATCCTCTCTTGTTTGCTGTGCAATCCTAAAGAACAGACCGTGAAACAAACAGGGGACCATAGTGTAAAGAGATTTAAAATTGAAGAACTGATTTGATTTATTTGAGCAGTATCAAAAGAAAATGTTGGCGCCGTATAAAATTAAATGTATAGATGATAATTACCAAAATTAAAGAAAGGGGGGTTTATATTTTGCAGATCGAGCAACATACTATTGATGAATGATAAAAATTTACGGAGATATCTAAGAATTTGACTTTCAATATTATTCGGGACTCAACACTTTCAGAATATAGCGTCACTCTGCCCGGTTCCAGATTATACAGGGTGTCCCAAAAGTCCGTACCCCCCCTCGTAACTTTTGAACGGTTAGAGATAAAAAAATGAAACTTTGGGAATGTTTCTATCTTAAAGGGGTCCATCTTCTAGGGGGGGTCAAAATTTTTGTCCCCCCCTCAGGGGGGGCGCGGGGGCCCCCAACTTTTTTTTTTCAAATGGTAACCCCTATCTTGTGATACATCATTAGAAAGAGCATAAAAAACTAAGAATTTTGGCGCAAACCGCAAATCAATATCTTAATTTTTGACCGAGTTATGATAGGTCAAAGGTCAAATTTGACCTATTTTCAAAAAATCATATCTCCGGTTCAAATTATCGTAAAGAAAAAAATAAAACGGGAAAATTTACCAAATTGTAAGCACTTTCAAATAAAAATCATAGAAATTACTTCAACTAATTTTAAGGGGGGTTTCGGATCCCCAAATACGTCATTTTAAAGGTCATACGATACTCTCGCGAAATGAGCCAATTTCTCCTTACTTTTCCTCAACATTATCTTAGTAAGTTCAAAATTAGTTCAAAATTGCGTTTTCAAGTCCCCAAATTTCGAGCAAAGTTCAAAAAACGAAATTTAAGGTAATTCAATTCAACCATTTAAATTTCGTTTTTTTTAAAACTTTGTTCGAAATTTGGGGACTTGAAAACGCAATTTTGAACTAATTTTGAACTTACTAAGATAATGTTGAGGAAAAGTAAGGAGAAATTGGCTCATTTCGCGAGAGTATAGTATGACCTTTAAAATGACGTATTTGGGGATCCGAAACCCCCCTTAAAATTAGTTGAAGTAATTTCTATGATTTTTATTTGAAAGTGCTTACAATTTGGTAAATTTTCCCGTTTTATTTTTTTCTTTACGATAATTTGAACCGGAGATATGATTTTTTGAAAATAGGTCAAATTTGACCTTTGACCTATCATAACTCGGTCAAAAATTAAGAAATTGATTTGCGGTTTGCGCCAAAATTCTTAGTTTTTTATGCTCTTTCTAATGATGTATCACAAGATAGGGGTTACCATTTGAAAAAAAAAGTTGGGGGCCCCCGCGCCCCCCCTGAGGGGGGGACAAAAATTTTGACCCCCCTAGAAGATGGACCCCTTTAAGATAGAAACATTCCCAAAGTTTCATTTTTCTATCTCTAACCGTTCAAAAGTTACGAGGGGGGGTACGGACTTTTGGGACACCCTGTAATGCAATCTCAAGCCGTACAAAGAACTAAAATATTATCTTTCTGCTGAAAGTGTATCCCTTGCAATGATTATACTTATGGTATTTGCCATATTTTTTTCCCAGTGCTTTAGAAATTCCCACTGACCTCCTCCAAACATCTATCTCTGTTGCTCTTAGCATATCTTGTGTCTGTTCCTTCGGTCATCCTAAACTTCGCATCTACAGGTGAAATACTTCTCACTTTGCACTGGAAAAAAAACACATTGAATTTAGAGTCCAGACACTTAAAAACATCGACAAGAAAAATACTCTTGATTCGATCAGATTTAAGCTTAAATCAAAAACCCAACCTCTTAATTTCATCGGATTTCCTTTTGATTTAAGCTTAAATCTGATTGAATCAAGAGTATTGTTTCTTGTCAATGATTTCCAGAGTCTGAACTCTATATCCAATGTGTTTTTTTTTCCAGTGTGGCGTTGTAAATTCTCCTCTTGTTCCCTTTCGATATTCGTCGATCCTTCTTTTTTTTTTCTTTTTTCCTTTTTTTTGGGGCGTAACAACCTTCCTTCCTACAGTGTTTCTATCCTTATTTCCTTGACCATGCCCTCCCAAAATCCATCGAGCATCTTGAGATAACTGCACATTTAGATACTTTGCTCCCTTCAGTATTTGATGTGCTGATGTGCGCATCCTGATACTTTGCAAGATGCAACATATCGACAACTGTGAAACTGCAAGGATGTGTAGAGTGTACCTGAGGTGGGGCGTTTCAAAATCCCCACTTCTCTTTATTTCTTTAAAGGAGACCAAATCAACATCATATCTTATACAAGGAGAAGAAATTGCTGATTCAACAATTCAATTGCTAAAAACAGTGAGTGCAATGTTTCAACTTAGATTTTACAACACAAAAATGCTACTTTAACCACATTGTAAACTAATTTAACCACGTGGGTGGTTAAAGTAGCATATTTTTGTTGTAAAATCTGAGTTGAAACATTGCACTCACTGTTTTTAGCAATTGAATTGTTATATCAGCAATTTTTTTTCCGTGTACGTTTTAAAGAATCCTTCCAATAGGGAGAAGAACAAGCGAGAAATCTCTATAAACCGTTCGTGCGTTCGTATCAGAGAAGGGATCGGCTGTTTACTCGGTAGTCGAGTTTTTAAGTTCCCCCAAAAAATGAGCACCGTTCAGATAAAAGAACTCGCTCACCAAGATTTCAACTATCAGTTTTGAGAGAACTACACTACCGCTAAAAAAATAAACCGTAGAGAATCGATTATCTTTATCCGCACTTTGCCATTACAAGCATTAAATAAAGGTATCGCAGATTGATCTTTTCAAAATATGTTGGGATCTTTCTCCGCCATCTTGTTGTTGAGCTACCACGCCATTAGAGCGCATTTTTACAGTATTCTAGAATTCTCAGGTTGAGATCAAAAGCGTTTCCTATCGGTTGGGCGCTTAAAATTTCAAAATTTTTCTTTGTCAAAAATAGATTATGTCAAGTAGCCTGCAATGTCGAAAACAGGAGTATGCATTCCTGCAGGTTCACCATCGATACGTCGTCGCCTTCCGGCCAAAGTATCACAGGCGCCAAGCGACGTTTAAAAATTTCCCCATTTTATTTTTTAAAGAGAAATTGTTCAACGAAGCTGTCCGAAATTATCACCGAATTTTCTTTGTGCTGCAGGTAAAATTCAGTGAAAGTTTCAAACAGACTCACCTAGAGTACCTACATAGGGAGAGTATGGACAACTCGAAACATGTAGCTCTTAGGGCCCAAAAGGTTAGGTAACCTTTAAAAACGAAAAATATCACTGTCAATCTATCAAACGAAAATGGACAAGAAAATTCATAAGTAAGCATTCTCCCGCTAAAATGAGTAAGTTTATGCATACGTGCTTTACCAACGACAGTTCCTATCAATTGTGATTATAAATCACTCTGGTGAATTTTAATTCATAGACTGCCCACCTTTTTGGGGTCTAGATGCTTCATCACTTAACCTCAAAATTTTTGACTTGTCCATACTCTCCCTATGTAGATACCCTAGACTCAACCAACCATTTCTCTCTAAAAAATAAAATGGCGGCGGAAATTTTTAAACGTCGTACGGCGCTTGTGATACTTTGACCGGAGGGTGATGACGTCTCATTTCCCTTTTATCACTGATATTTAGATGGAATCAAGAGGCTGGAACCAAATGATCACTGCACTTCAAGCCGCGACTCAACAATGCAATTACATAACGGCTGAAACGGATTGGGCGCTGAAGGCAGCTGCAGCGCAGACTTGCGATGAGGTCTTCAAGGCTCTGGACCAGTTCGGCCTAAACATCTGCCACGGATGGTTCGAAGCCAAGTGCCGCTATGTTCCCGGCTACCCCCTATACCAATGCACCGTCAAGACGCCTGCTTCATGTGCGTTTTTGGATCCAATACAAACACCCAAGACAGTGCTCGATTGTGCACCAGGCCTCCAAACCTTGGGTCAGGCAGACAGGTAGGTGTCTGTTACTTCGACTACCCAAGTACCAGTGATCGCGATAAATAACGATTTTATCGGTTGGTTATCGCGATTATATCGGTGGCAATATCAGTGGCGTGGCGTGCTTTGCGATATATCGATTGATCGGCCAATTAAACCTTTGAAAAAGTATCAATAAACGAGGTGTTCGCAGCGAGCACCTTAAAAATTGATTTTGTACACGGAAAAAACCTCGTGCGTGGGACCCGAAGTTTAGGTCAAATGGATCTCTGAATTTTTCAGATCTGAACACTTTAGGTCTAGCTGTCGAGGTTCGGATCACACATCTGAGACTTCATTTCTTACATCTGAAGTACTTCAGATGTGAGAACCGAAGTTTTTCGGATGTGAAAACCGAAGTACTTCAGATGTAAGAATTGGAGTTTCAGATGTGTGATCCAAACCTCAGCAACTGGACCGTAAGTGTTTGGATGCTCAATCCGAAAACTTCAGATATACATTACGACCTAAACTTCACGTCTCATGCACGAAGTTTTTTTCTCCGTGTACCACAGCTTCAAATGGGGAAACATCGATCGATCGCAAAGCACGCCACGCCGCCGCGCCACTCGGCAATATATCGAGATATTATCGCATTAAAAATTGCGATATAAGGCGATTAAACCGCTACACATCGCAATTTTTGGTTTGATAAAATCGCGATCAATTTGCGTCGATAAAATCTTAATTAAATCGCCATTTATCGCAATTTTTATTTCGAAGATATCACGATAAATTGTCGGGCGATAAAATCGCGATTTCACTGCAACAAGATCGAGGATAATCGCTCAGATGTTGACGATCCTAGCGATTTTATCGCCGATAAAATCGAAATATAGAGCGATTTTTCCATTCAGAATTGCTACTTGGGTACGGCTCAATAGAGGATCGAGTCAATCAGAGAGGTCAAACATGAAATTTATGGCTAAAACTGCAAATTTTAATGTGTATTTCGTCACATTTTAAATTTTAAGGAGTGCTTATAGAAGAGAATTTCACGAGAAAACCAATGAAACCACTTTTAGAACCTCAAAATTTTGTTTAAACGGCGTTATGAGCGTTTAAAGTTTCCAACTTGTGTCCAAAATCTCCTATTGACTTGATCCACTGTCCGGCTCAAAGTGTCACGCAACAAATTGTCTCAATGGTCCCATCATGCAACATCGCACAGAGGCAAGGTTTTGGACTGTGGTATGCTTATTGCTACACTTACATATAGTCTCGTAGTATGGCAACAGAGAACCTCCCCAATTTAAATTGAAAATATCTAGAAATCTGAGCAAAACTGAAAAAATTTTACCGCATCATGCATCTGCCGCATGATTCATGGTCAAATGAAGCAGTCTGCTGAATGATTACGAAGAAACCTTGTAAATCATTTTATCGTAAATCGCGAGTCTGATATTTTCTATACTCCTATTAGAACAGAAAATTAATCAAGCGAGCAAATAAAAATTCTGTGGAATGTTCGATCATTCCATGATATATACCATACTTTTTAACTCAGAGTGAACATCCATCACATGATTTCTTCTTCCTTCATAAAATGCAAATTATTCAAAAATTTGACAAGAGAAAATCAAATCGAGAATAGTCAGTAGTTCAAAGACTAAACAAGTTGGTTTTTGCAATCGCTAGCGATAGCAATATTCGTCATGGGAACTTTTGCTTCTGGGATATGAAAATTTTAAGGTACAGTTCGTTTGTAGTATCTTCAGAATTGAAGGGGCTATGTAATTTTGTGTCGACATCTCTTTTTTAACATTTTTAATTTTTTTTCTTTGCATACAAGAAAGCTGTTATTTACCAATTATTTATTTTCGTTGGATTATGTATGGTTTTTGGAAGTTAACGCATTTAACTTTCAGTTTCGTTTTTTCGGCGTAAAGTATGATATTTTTACTCTACGCATATGCCCGAATACGCATCATAACGACGGTGAAACTACCAAACCACGTATCTCGTTTGCGGTGTTTAAAAATCTCCGCTCACATTTTATTTTTTTGAAGTAGACCAAATCAATATCATTCCTTGAAATTTTCACAGAATTTTCTCCGCACGAAGAGGAAAAATCACGGAAATTTTCAAGACTGGACGTTAAGTAGCTTTTCATTTAAAAAATAAAGTATGACAGGAAGTCTGCGACGTCGCAAACCGAGATACGTGGTTTGGTAGTTTCACCGTCGATAAGTGACCTATGTGCTTCCTAAGTTGCCATTTTTTTCATTCAAATAGATGTAACCGAAATGTTAGATGTGTACTACCTATACTACTTTCATGTCATTGCTTTATTTATTTATTTACTTTTTGCGTAGGTATAAATTGTTATTTTTTGCTGAATTTTGGAGAAAATATTGCTTTAAGAACGTGGAATGTAAATTAATTTTATTGAAAAAAGAAAATACCATCATTAATTTGGGCGAACAGAGAAAATATACATCAATATTTGGGTCAACATCTCCCTGATTATATAAAGGATGAATATATTAGTATTTCTGTATCAAAAAACTTAGCTTTTGTCTTCAGAGATACGATGATTCTAGTCCCAGTCAATTTGTTTTATTGAAAAAACAAAAAAACAAAAAATAAAAAAAAAAAAACAACTGAAATGTTAGACATACTATTTTCATGTCTTTCTATTTGTATCAATAGGTACTTTTTGCTTAACTTACGAACGTTGAATGCAAATTAACTTTATTGAAAAAAGAAAATAACGTCATTAATTTGGGGGAACATGTGGCTGATTATATGAAGAAGGTATATTCCAGTATTTTTGTTTAACATATTAACTCACGAGAAAATGTTCGTACATTTATCATCTACTATTAATTATTTTTTGATGATTAGTCTAAAACATTCAATACAACCATTAAAAAGTAGTTCCCATCGTCGGGTATCGAACTCCCGATCGCCGGGTGCCCGCACCGAATCAAAAATACGAGGCGGTTTAGTCAACTAGGCTATAATGGATCCACGTGGGCGAGAGTAAAAATAGCATACAAAAGACTCGGGCAATGGGCGGGACTTATCACAAGAGACCTTGACTGCTTTTGGGATGATATGAAGCGCATTGCTGTATTGCTGTAGGAGCCATGGTTCGCACTGTTTTAATGCGTCTCGAGGTTCATCCCAGCACGCATTCCGATCGCGGCAGTTGAGCTAAGGCAATATTTGCGTATCCATGAATTAAATCAATCAATCGAGCTCTGATTTTGACTTCTTTATCCGTAACGAGTCCTCCAGAACAATTTTCCACCTTGTACGATGGTTATTATTTCTTTACTTCTATTTTTCAAATTTGAGGTGGGATAATGGCGGCTTCTCAAGAACACCGAGGTAGGCGATCTTTTGCACCAACGAACAGAAAACTGATGGCGAAAAATAACCAATCAGAACCTCCCAAAAAAAAGAATTTGCCTAAAAACGGAACTTCGTGGTTCTGCGCAGATTTACCAGTCAGACACGACATCTCAAGGTGGAAAAAAACTCGCTGAAAGCGAATTTTAGCAATCAACACAACTTGACGTAGAGACATGATTGGCTAAAAAATACAACGGTTTTTGATACATCGGAAAATCAACCAAAAATCGGAGACTGGGCGAAACGCTCAAGGTCGCAGAGGTATAGGGAATCCCATAGCGAAAGCAACGGAACGATTCTAATATCATGGGGAACTCCGTTCCCATGACAAAAATGCAAAACTTGGCAACGATTCTATAAGTTTGAATATTTGCTGGTGCTTTTAGCATTGTATGTACCTGATACTAGCCTTCGACACATCTACAAAGTGCACAGAGTCGAAATGCAAGTGGGAGAGTTGGCGTCACTTTTAGGCACTATCCAGGTCGAATTCCGAGACTCCTATGTATCACGCCGGGTCACTTTTTCGATACCTAATCGACTGTTTTCGATACACGGGGACTCGGCCATCCGATGTAAACAAAGAATATAAGGAATACATTTTGCAATAAGAAACCACTATTTCTGGCCTATTTTAGGAATAACATACATGCCATTGGTTCCCTATGTAGATATGTGCTTTTATGGGAGAACCAGAGATAGTGGTTCCTCATTGCAAAATGTAATCCATAAGAATTACTACGTATTCCGCATCGCCATTTCGGATCGAAAATCTATCGAAAAAGTGGCCGAAGCTCGGCGCACACCGGACTCGGAACTCGTCGACCACATCATGGCACCAGCTCTCCCATTTACATTACGACTCTATGTACTCTATGAACACATCGGAACGTGACCAGAAAAACGTAATTTTTTGACCAACAGACCACCCTCCGCACCTTCCTCGCCCAGCTCTGGGAGGAGATCGCGCGGGAAGGGTAAAGAGCCCGCCTCAGAACCAACAAAGAGGCGTAATACTGGAGGTAGAGGTCCACCCCGCACCGGAGGATCTTCATATGCCGGAGGTTCTTCAACTACTAGGGGCTCTCCACCTACTAGAGGCTCCCCACCTACTAGGGGCTCTCCACCTTTTAGGGGCTCTCCACACGGCTCTCCATTTCATACAGACTCTCCATTCCCTACGGTTTCTCCATTTCCAATGGGCTTTTCTCTTCCTGGAAGTCCATTTTATCCGACGGATCCTCCGGGCTCCATGCCTGGACTCGCTATGGATCCCACGTTTGATGTGTCTGCCTACGGTGTTGCGGATTCGCTTCCTGGAAGTCCACGATATGCTCCGTACCCTCAATCCACTCCGCAGTCTGGACTCGTTGTAGATCCTTCTTTCCGTGTGGAGGATTTGGAGGAAGCGGATCTATCGTTCTACTGCTCGAGCCCCCCAGGCGGAGCCTTAAATCCGGGTCCCGCTGGTGGAGATGGAACTGGCGCCGCCGCAGGTGTAGCTGATGTGGCGGGTGCGTATACATAGGGTGATTCAAAAGAACCTTCCACCAAACTGCCGTGATGGCAAAAAGAGTACTAAAAAGCACGTGTTTTTATGTGTCTCGGGATTCTTCTAAGCATGCACTTACTGCTCTCTTCGCTATTGCTTCAGCAAAGGCGTGCACTGAAAAAAAATCTCGTTGTATTTACTAAGAAAAGGGTAAAATTACCAAGAATTCAGGGTTCTATTTGATCCCAGTCTTTTCTTGGTAAAATTACCATTTATGGAATTGGTAATTTTACTGAGAAATCTCGGTAAAATTATTGACTTTCTCGGTAATTTTACTGATCCCCGGTAAAACCGCCAATATTTTTTGACGACTGTGGTAAAATTACCGAGATAAAATGGCATGGTTACCTGGAATTGATTACCAATAAAAGTGGTATTCTTACCTGGAGAAAAACAGTTAAAATACCGGTTCTTAAGTAAGCTTACCAGTCTGTCTTGGTAAAATTACCAATAATTGGTAAAAAAGTGAGATGGTAAAGGTACCAACGGACCTTGGTAAAAACGCCGAGAATTTTTTTTCAGTGTGGCTTACTTTGTGATGAATCGATTGATCTGTCATTTAAAATCTTGAAAAATGACTGAGAAACATGGTTTTCGAGACAAACGCTTTAATAATCGATTCTTTACCACAGTTTCTAGTGGGAAAATATCGATAATCTACCATTAACGCCTTGCCACTGCCTTCCTCCCCGCCTAAAAGTTGTCCTATTTGAGATAGAGATTTGAAACTCGGGGTATGTTCTCAAAGGTCAAAAGCAGCTACTTTTCGGACCCCCTTAAATTGTCTGAGAGCCTCCTTTGGGGGTGGGCTCCAGTTTTTTTGTTTCCGAATGGAAATACCCCTTTTATAATACCTCGGTCGAAAGAATGTTAAAAAGAAAAATTTTCGCACAAATCTATTGAGTCTTTGTCTCACACCGTTTCAAAATTGCCAAAAATTGGCATCAGTTCTTTGTCAAAAGATTTGCCTGAAATCTCAGGGTTTTATGCCACGGGAAAACCCAATTTGGCATTAGATTTTTTTTAAAAAAATAAATAAATATCTTTCGGTAATTTTGTGATTCAACCGGTCGCCATCTTGGAGAAACTTTTTTCTTTTTCGAAACAAAATATAACATCACAGTCGTTTCTTTCGTGCTAAAATACTTCCAGATACTAACTCTCGAGTAAATTCATTGGGTTGTTTCCGAAATCCTCGATTCCTTCGACATGTTTTCGACATGTTTTGAATGAGACTTAGGCAAGGTAGCACGTTGCATAATTCTGTAACTAGGCCGGAATAGGCAAAAAGGAACCAAGCCACACCAGGCATTTTCAAATTCAATTTGGCAATTTCATTTTTTTACATGAAAACGGTTGTGTGGTTTTTTGTGCAAATTTCAGTGAATTTACTGACAGTACGAGACAATTCCCTTGAAATCCGCAAGAGAATTCGCACAAACGTTCTCTTGTGAAAAATGAAATTGCCTAGTTATATTTGGCAATAGCTGAAGTGACTTGGATCCTTTCTGTTAAACGTGGTCCAATGGACCACTTGACAAATTACGAATTTAAACAATCTTATACATGTTTCTTAACCAGAATTTTACGTAGAACACGATTCGCGCAACAAAATTTACTGAAACCAACTCCTTACGAAGTTATTATTGTTTTAATTCCACATTGGTTACGAGGAATTCGAACTGCCCGCTCACGAGAAACTCAAAGCTTTACGTGAGTCAAATCGCGCAATACAACGCTTTCAGCAAGCTTCTCGATCGAGCAATGTTCATTTCCCACCATGTGGTGTTCAAACTATAAGCAATTTGCTATAGCTGAGCCAAAGTGTCAAGATTGAGGTTGCCAGATTTTTATATCGTAGGGACTGTCATGATAACGTCTAGCGCGCGATGTGAATCACGTAGAGCATTGAGTTTTCATGAGCGGGTGGTTTGAATTCACACATCAAGAATCATTGAATATCTTCATAAGGAGTTGATTTCGGTGATTTTCGTTGTGCGCGTCGTATTTTAAGTGAAATTTTGGTTGAGAAACATGTATCAGAATGCTGAAATTCGTACTTTGTCTAGTGGTCCATTCTTATCTCGTGTAATTATCCATTATTTTGAAGCGATTAATCTTGTTGAGTTTAGTAATCGGTAAATATTATCCGTAATTATAGGAGTTGAAGCACAAGGCCAAACGAAGCTTCAGTGTCCCGAGTGCGGAGGATATTTTAAACATGCGAACTCTTTAAGGCAACACGTGTCAATGCATGAAGCGATGCGCCAAGGAAGGACAACATGCCCGTGCGGTGTTGTCTGCAGCACGACGCAGGCTCTCAAAGTTCATTTGAAATCCGTGCATAAAGTCCGTGAGTTCATTTCATTTTCAATTGGTTTTGAAGTATCCAACTTTTTTTCGCACTTGTTTCCTGCGGTGCCACAGAAATACACGATTAACGCCCCTTAGTAAATTCGAACGCCGCACGGTGGATCGAGTCAATCAGGGAGGTCGGACATAAAATTTTTTACTAAAACTGAAAATTATGATGTTTATTTCATCACATTTGAAATTTTAAAGGGTGCTCCTGGCAGATAATTGTACAAGGGAACCAACGGAACCACTTTCAGAATCTCAAAATTGTGTTTAAACGGAGTTATGAGCTTTTAAAGTTTCCCAAGTTTGTCCAAACCTCGGGTTAGGTTTGCAACCTTGCCAATCTTGTTGAAAAAGTATAGCAAAAATGAGAATAATCAAGAGCATGAAACTCAATGAATAAGTCTCATTTAAAACACCAGAAGGAACTAACGCCAAGCAATCCTTGAGCCAAAAGATTTACTCGCCGAAATTACCAAAAAACTTCGATCGCTTTCTCTAGAATTAGGATTTTTTGACTGCAACTTCAAACCAACTAACGCCAATTTTTTGGTTTTTCATGAAAGTTTTTTGTGTTAAAGTGCTCGTGAATGACTGCGGCGAGCACTGGTGCCAATGTAACAATTTTTTTTGTCTCTGCATAAAAGCCTCTTTTCTGTAGAAGGTCATATGATAATGATAATTCGTGAACTATAACCTTCAACCCGTCAATGAGGTTGAAATTGACGTAGATCATCATAATTCCACGAACTTTCGTCTGATGCGGCGATACGTACTGATTTCAAGGATGAGTTGCATTAGCGTCTGATGAGGTTGTTCAGTAATTTTCAAGTCGGGCATATTTGAAAACGTTAAGTGCTTTTATTGTTAGTTCAAAAGAATTTCCCCACATTTTAAATGATAGTAAGCACAAATGGTGTTCTTATAACTATACTCCTACCGGGAAAATATACGTCATAATGATTTAATGCGCTTTTTGTCTAGCGATCCCATTAGAATTATTTTTCGGCGTAGGGAACGAAAAATCTCCGTTTTTTAGGGGAAATTTTCCGTGTATGTCATCGACTCTTTTTCTGGAAATTGAGAAATGTTACGAATGCCTTTGATTAAGAGGGCTTGTAACATAAAAATAAAAGCTCCTTTTCAAATTTTTAGTATTAGATGTATCTATAAAGCCTTTAGACCATTTGGAACGAGTTTAATAGAGACAAATCGAGTCCCTTCAAACTTGATCCGAGGAAAAAAGCGTGTAATGGCTATTTTCTCGATCAAAATATTTTTTCTCCGCATTTTGATGTTTTTAATGTTCCACATCTATTCCTGAAATGTGCCTTGCGTTCCTGCTAAACTCGGTGCATTTCTTAACTGGTGAGGGTCAGCACAAGAATTGATTGCAAAACCACAACTTTTCTGCTTATGGTTTCTCTTTTCTTTTCGGCTAGCAGACGTGTTATTTGCTAATGTTTAATTTTTCTTTTGTTTTGCAGAGTTTGAGACGGGACCCAAAAGTAAGTGTAAATAAACAAAGTAAAAATAGAGTAGTTTACAATCTTAAGTATTTTAAGATAAGGATCTTATCAGAGTCATTCTATCAGTGTAATTGGTGTAATTTAATTTAGTTTTTCATCTTAAAGATATCATTAATAAATTTATTGAATTATGAACCAGAGGGCCAGTTTGGCCTAGCGGCCAACCGAAACAGATTTCACTCTGCATTAATCTTTGAGAATTTGGAAGCCAAGAGAATAAGTGGAGGATGACTTACTACTCAAAAATCGCGCGAATTGTAACAAATTTTCCTTACGTCTCATTTTTGTTGATTTATATTGTTTTTGCAACACAAAGAAATAAGGAGGAAGCAAAAGCTTCAGAACGATTGAAGTCATTCGGGAAATTTTGCGAGATAATTTGTTTATTCATGTTAAAACTCTGTTTTAGGTTAAGTACGTCTCTTTTTATAGGCTTTCATAGGGTAAAAGCACACGAAAATCACAATAAGGCCCATAAAAAAGTCTGGAACCCAGTCTCCATAGCGCGCAATTCGCTTATTCCGTAACATGTTCTTTCTTTCCTGCGTTCGCGGACAGTTTGAGAATTGGTCACACAAATTTTTCCCATAGCTATTTGATGACCCAATCAAACCGTCCTGCTTGCACTTCTTGTCCAAATTCCCCCTTAACGGTAGATCACGTTCTTATAAGTTGCCCACTTTATAAAGATATCCGAAAACGTTTTTTTCCCTACCCCTTACCCTCTCTTAAAAATTTACTTCTGAATACTCATCCTGTGAAACTTTTTGAATTTATGCGCTCCACTAATCTCAAAATTTAACCTTTCTCCTCAACCCTTTTGTATTTTTACTGATATTTCCATGTAAATTTATTACTGTTACTGCCCTCTTCAGAGGTGTAAATGGCCTCAGATGCTAAAGCACCGCTTGAAAATAAAATTATTTTACTACTACTACTCCTTGTTGCTGGCGACCAGGTTTGCCCGGGAAATGACGTATAAGCAAACCAAGCGTATAAATAAACAATCTCGCATACTTCTTCTCGCTTACGATTTAATTTTTTTCAATCGTTTGTTTCCTCCTTACTTCTTTGTACTACACTGCCGTGCTAAGGAAGAACGCCGTATGAACATTCGAGAGTTGCCAAATTTCCTTCGATAAAACATGTATTTTTGAAGAAATGTATGCACATTTTTCTTTGAAATGTTCAGATATTTTAGAGTGAATTGCGTACAAAATTGTCTGAAAATGTTGGACAAAAATATTCACAATTTTTCCAGTAAATTCGGTTTTTATCGAAGGAATCTTGGCAACGCCTGAAGGCTCATACGGCGTTCTTCCTTAGCACAGCAGTGCAGAGCCAGAAACTTTAAATCAACAGCAATCAGACGGAAAAATATTTAGGTTTATGGGGACCACAAATTGTTTGAAAAACAGTTTAAAAAAAAAAAATAATGAAAAAATAAACAAAAAATTATTCAACGCATATTTACATTTAAAAGTCATGTTCCCCGTATTATCTTCAATGTTTGTATATGGTAATTTTTATTTTTTAACCATGAATTTTTTTTGTTTTTTCGAAGGTTACGTATGTGATGTGTGCGGAGTGGATTTTAAGAATACGAAGAAGCTCTCTGCACACAAACCAACTCACACTGGAGAAACAAACTGCTTTGTTTGCAGGAAACCCTACAAAACCATAAGTGCGAGGAATAAGCATATAAGGGATAAACATCCGGAGGTTGACCTATAACCAAAATTATGAATTTATTATTACGGTTGTGTGGTTAAACTGAGCAAAACCAAAGAATGATTCAATAAACGAACGGACCAGAAAAAAATCGCCGATTAATTTCTCAAGCAGATGGATAAGCCAGAGGAATTTTCATTTTGTATAGTCCAATGGAGCTGTTGCACCTTTTTAGATTAATTTTTGGAAATTAAATAAAAATGAGAATGCTTGCATTTATCCGTTCTTCATTGGATGAAATTTTAGCCAAGGAAACGACTTTTAAAAGCGCTAAAACTCAAACCCCGTTTCAACGGACCAGGAAAAACCGACGATTAGTTTCTCAAGCAGGTGGATAAACCCGAAGAATTTTCATTATCCAATGGAGCTGTTGCACTTTTTATAGATTAATTTTTGGAAAGGAGATAAAAATGAAATGCTTGCATTTATCCGTTCTTCATGAAAAAAACGACTTTCAAAACCGCTAGAAATAAAATTCTGTTTCAAACGGAAAAATATCAGGCCAACAGATTTCGTGACGTCAAAAAAATTGACCCTCCGGCTGCCATGGTTGCACTGGATTTAAGGAAACCAGGGGTCTTTATCTCACATCACGTTGTAACCTTCAGGCCAATGAGATACGCTCTTTTCATAACTCCAATTTTACGCTTCTTATAAAATAGTTTCGTGCTAATCAATTAAGCTCGAAAACACGTTGCTCCTTAAAATTTACTGTGGCAAAACCTCCTTTCAAGGTAATTCCTGGATCTTGCAACACCTCAAATATATTTCTATTTCCGACAAATATGCAAAACAAAACAACTTACTTAGAACTAGATTCATGCGGAAAATCACACTCAATCCAACCATCGTGACATTCGACATTTAGAGAGCAACGCCTGAAATCAAACAAAAAGGTGCAAGTAAGTATTTAGTATAGAAAAACGTATTAAAAAATACGGCGTTGCGTGCATAGCAATGAATTGATTCATCTACCATTTGGACCGCGTTGAACAGAAAGGAACCAAACCACATCAGCTATTGCCAAATTTAATTGAGCAATTTAATTTTTTGCATGAAAACGGTTGTGCGGATTTTTGTGCAAATTTCAGTGAAAATTCTTCAAAATTTGAAGCAAATTCCCTAAAAATGTTTAAGGAATCTGCACAAAAATTCTCTCGTAAAAAATTTAATTGCCTAGTTAAATTTGGCAATAGCCGATGTGGCTTGGTTTTCTTCCTGTTAAACTCAGCCCATTTAAACCATGGAAAAGAATCGATTATCAGGGTGTTCGCAACAGACACCCTCCTAATCGATTATTTTCTATAGTTTCAAATCGGAAAAAATCAATAATCGATTATTCACACTTCTCCACCGATGATTACACGCTCCGATGGACGAGTCGCTAGTTGACATAACGACGAAAATGTTTTAAGAAAACACTCGCCCTCGGAAAAATCGGTAACAAAATTGACACCGTCAACTCGGAAGCGAAAAACCGGTCGGAAGAACTGATTGAGGCATCTGTCAGACGTTGGAAAATATTTACGAATATACTTTCAAGATATTCTGAGTGTTCTTTCTTTTTGTTGTTGAAGCGTTTGGATGCTTGTTTTTTGAAGCGCCTTGAAGGTAAATTGTCATTCACGCAGACATCAAATTTAGAGTTCCTCCCCGCCCTCCGTCAAAGAGTGACGGAGGTGTGCTGCCTTACTGAGAATAAACGCCGAATGAATCTCCAGGCATTGCCAAATTTCCTTCGATACAATGCGAATGTGTTCCAAAACTTGTGAATAATTTTCTCCCAATTTTTCACACAATTTCAATTAAATCTACAGTATCTAAAAATTATTTGAACGTATATTCAAAACTCGCCTCAAAAAATAACATTATATCGGAGGATATTTGGCAACTCTCGAATGTTCATACGGCACTTTTCCTCAGCAAGTCCGTAAGGAAGACTAAGCTGGTTGTAAGGATAATCTTTCAAATACCAATGAGTAAAATCAAATTTTCCCTATATAATTTAATTTGGAATTTTGAAAGTTCAAGACGGAAGAGCAAAATTTAGAATACAGACATAAAGAATATTTTCAAAAGAGAAGAGAGAAAGAAACAAACAAGGAGTAAGAAAAAATGAAAAGAACGAGGGAAGTTAAAAAATATGTTCGTAAAACAGACGAACAATTTCAGACAAGTTCCCGGCAAAAGGTAGATAAATTTTTACGTCTAAATATGTGTGTCCATATCGATGGAGATATGAAATTGGTCGCTACGTCTATGGTCATTGGACAAATTTTCCAAGGCGTGTAATTTTTACGAGAGCCCTTAGATGCCCGACCCGGGCAAGTTGATCCGATAGTTGAATAAAACAAGTGGCCGCGGTCTGTATGAATGGGCCAGTACATATACGAGTTTTATACAAGTACATCCTATAAAAAAGAATCGAACATGAAATCGAAAAAGAAGAAAACAAGCGGGAAAGTTCTAATACTGTCGTATTAGAAAAGCGCTCAGGTGTTATTAAATGTATTTAATGAAGGAAGGACGTACAAACTCCGTCGACTTGGCTGGGAAATGGAAATAAAACATCAGCTGATAGCAAACAAAGGTTACCAAGGAAACCGTAAATGCGTATTTTTGTTTCCCGAAAATGAACTCACCGTTGAGCTCATCAGGCGCGTTTTTTTAAGGCTTCATTTGAGTTCAACGATCAATTTCGATAAGAATTACTCTACCGCTAAGAAATTTTCTTATGGACAGACGATCGAAACTACCTGCGCATTACGTTAAAAGCATAAAATACAGTTTTCACAGCTTTATTTATTTTAAAAATGGACCCCCCCCCCAAAAAAAAGCCTACACATCGATGAGCTGGTGCGCCATTTAAACGCATTAGCACTAGTATACTAGTACTCAGGGGCAAGTCGAGATCAAAAAGCGCTGCCTATCGGCTGAGCGCTTAAAATCGAGTGGAGACACGAAGTCGGGCCTCGCTTTTAAACTTTTCTCCCGAATATAAACGATACCTCATTGACAGTATAAAGCGGAGCAATACGAGTTCACGCCTCGCGTCATAGCGCCTTCAATTTTTCAGATGCATCATGGACATCCGTCAAGCACGAATAGTTGTATCTCTGCGCCGTTATGATCGCGCTTCCTTACCCTATCTCTTTTTTCATGCTGCGTTGGTTCCATTTGTATTGTTTGTATTGGTAACCCGTGGGGTTGTGAGGAAGTGCCAGTGTGTTAGTAAAAAGGTGAACATTTAAAAAATAAATTATTCCTTAACTTCAACAACATAGTTTTAACAAATATAATACTTCAAAAACTATCAAAATTCATGTCTTTGAATACGGGAAAATTTTACCCGACTTGGACTATGCGTATAAATTAAGTCTTGGACACCTAAGGGTTAAAATGATGTTGGCCTAGATTAAAACAAGCTGCTGGTTCCAACACTACTGTGTTGGAGAGCTCGCCTTTGCGAAACTATTAACAACTATTAATGATTTTTTCTGAAATTGTATATGTATTAAATGAATCTTTACCCAATTATCAGAGGTTACATGCCGATGCAAAATGCTATGACGTAATTTCATATGACAAATTTTTCACATTACAATAAATAAAGAGAAATAAAGAGAGAGAAATGGAATTATCTTTTATGAATGTGATTTTGCGGCAAATGTTGCAATGGCATCGTTGATAAGCTTTTTCTTAACTTGTCAACAATGTAATGAAATCATATGATTTAATTTTAATTTTTTTTTTAAATCAAGTCGCCAACTTGAATTAAGGTTATACTTTGTTGAGCTGGTAGTCTGGAATTCTGAATTTTTATCGGCACAGAGTTCAAAGAAACTATAATTTAGCACGGTTTGGAGGAACGTTTCTGCCATAATTCTTACACAATACTTATGGTATACACTAAGAGCT